GGGATAACTCGAAATCTCTGAGAATCGGCGGGTTTGGAGGATGTATTGGGCGCCGCGGCCGCTCCAGAGCGTTCCGGAACGCTCTGAGAGCGCTCTGCAGCGCTCTGGAGCGATTTATCCCGATCCTAGCCCTGTTTTACCCCCAGAGCGGCAGAGGGCGGCCCGCGCGGGCCCCGAAGAGGCCCCAAGACAGCCCCGTCGAGCAGGGGATGGGCTGCGGAGTCGCTTTGCCCCAGGAGTCGTCGAGTCCACGAGAATGGATCTACCCCCCCCCAAAAAAAAAAGAGGCCCAAGGCAGCTCCTTCGAGTAGGGGATCGACTACAACATTGAGGTGATCGTCGGATCTACGGACGAATACGTCCCGCAGATCTACGAGCACTATACGTATGCTCCGTAACGTCGACGAGAACATCGATTATGGGTCAAATCTATTCCGCAGCCGATCCCCTACTCGACTCCTGAGATGGCCCAGGAGCTCCTTCAGACAGCTCCGGAGGACGTCAAGACGACGGCCCGACCACCCCACAACAACGGCCCCGCGGGGGGGCCCCGAGGGCCACCTCCGGACACGCCCCCCGCCGCGCCCGTCCTCCCCTGAGATCCTGGTGACTCCATTTGTTCGAGCCAGGCGTTCTCGCTCCACTTCGGGCCCAAGCACGCTTGCAGATCGATCTGGCTCGAAGAATGACGTAAGAAGATGGGGTCCGGGGCTCCCGTCGTGCTTGCGGAGGCCGTACGGCCGGTGCCGCCGACCTTGAAGGGGAACGACGACAACGGCGGCGGCGGCGGCGACGCCGGCGCTGACGTGGGTCAGAGTCCTCATGGATGCTTCTTGGGGTCTCTTCGAAGCGCTCTCGGGGGCCTTTCGGGGGAAAGTTTAGGAGCCTCCTGGGCGAGTCGCGGGGGCCTCTTGGGGACCTCTTGGGGGCCTCTCGGGGCTTCCTGGGCGCCTCTTGGGGGGTTGCGTGTCCCATAATTCAACAATTTCAAAAGGCGAATTATGGGAAACGCACCCCCGGACGACTGCCCCAAGGACACACTGCGCGGGAAATGCGTTTCCCAGAATTCGAATTCCGAATTATGGGAAACGCAATTTCCTTTGAAAAACCGCACTCGATGGGCCATAATTGCGTTTCCCACACTTCGGAATTATGGGGAACGCAATTCTGGCCCATTGAATGGGTTTTTCCATGGAAATTGCGTTTCCCATAATTCGAATTCCGAATTTCAGGAAACGCGGTTCCCAAGAATTCGAATTCCGAATTATGGGAAACGCGATTTCCTTTGAAAAACCGCACTCGATGGGCCAGAATCGCGTTTCCCATAATTCGGAAAAATGGGGAACGCAATTCTGGCTCATTGGGTGCGGCTCTTCCAGGGAAATTGTGTTTCCCGTAATTCGAATTCCGAATTTCGGGAAACGCAGTTTCCCAGAATTTGAATTCCGAAATATAGGAAACGGGAAACGCAATTCTGGCCCATCCCGAAATTCGGAATTCGAATTATGGGCAACGCAATTTCCCAGGAAACACCGCACTCAATGGGCCAGAATTGCGTTTCCCATGATGCCGAATTATGGGAAACGCAATCCTGGCCCACTGAGTGTGGTTTTTCCGGGGGAATTGCGTTCCCCATAATTCGAATTCCGAATTTCGGGAAATTGCGTTTCCCATAATTCGAAAGTCGGATTACGGGAAAATCGCGTTTCCCGTGCAATGTGTGTTTGGGGCAGTCGTCCGGGATTGCGTTTCCCATAATTTTGAATTATGGGAAACGTCATCCCCGACGACTACCCCTCTCGGGGGCATCTTAGGGTTTCTTGGGGGCCTTTGGGGGGTCTCTTGGTTCCTCCTCGGAGCCTCTCGGGGCGGAGGGCTCGAAATGTCCGTTCTGGTCACTCGTCTGGGCACTTTCTTGGAGCCGTCTTGGGGGCCTCCTGGGTTGTCTTGGCGGCGTATTGGGCTGTCTTGGGGCCCTTGGGGCGATCTGGCGGCCCGCTTGGGCCGTCTTGGAGCGTCTGGAAGCGGAACGGGCGAAAACGCCGAAATGCTTCAAAAACCGATTGGGAATCAGCGATTTTTCCATTTGGGGCCCTCTTGGAAGTGCTCCTGGAGGCCTCTTGGGGCTCTTTGCAGGGCTCTTGTGCCGTCTGGAGGCCGTCAAGGTGTCTTGGACAGATCGTTCGGCGATTCAGGGCCCTCTTTGAGCGTCTTGGGGGCCTCTTCTGGGATGACCGTGGGGGCTTCTAAGTGGATAAGGGGGGTTACAAGTGGATGCCGAGGTGGGTTATGCCTGGCCCACCCTGGCTTACAAGTGGGCTACAAATGCCCCAAGTAGCTTAGGGGTGTGAACGATCCGAGCTAAGTGGGTTCCGCTCACTTAGCGGAGTTATCTAACCCCCCTAAGCCACTCAGGGAATTTGTAGCCCACTTAGAAGCCAGGTTGGACCAGGTATAACCCACCTTAGCATCCACTTGTAACCCCCCTATCCGCTTAGAAACCTCCACGGTCATCCCAGTTGGGGCACTTTTGCCCCGTCTTGGGGCTTTCGGGCGCCCCGGGGCCCTCCGAGGGGGGAGTCGTATCTGACCCGGGACCCCCCCGGGATCCCCCCAGGGAGGATTCGTATTTGACCCGGGACCCCCTTCCCAGGACCCCCTCCTCCCTCCCCGCGGGGGAGGGATAAAGGGAAGGGGCTTCCCTTCGAGTCACAATTATGACGTCGCTCAATTCCGCTTTGGCTGGCGCGCTCGAGGAGGAGGGCCGGCCCAGGCATGGTAAAGGAGGAGGGCCTAGGGAAGGAGGAGGAGGGAAATCCCTTTGACATTTGAGGAGGAGAGCTCAGGGAAAGGGGGGGGGGAGCGGCGACGGGCCCAGGAAAGGGTGAGCGCAGGGAAAGGGGACGACAGAGACGACGGCTAACGAATGACGGATACGACGACGACTCGAATGGACAAGCCCCTCACACACGCCGACAGGGTCGGCAGATTTTTTGTGGCGCTGCCATTTTTTCGTAACGTCGGATCTCAGGGTCCCTACGACCAGCATGCCTCCAAGACGCCCCCGACAGGCTCCAAGAAGGGCCTTGGCGGGCTCCCGAGAGGCTCCCTGGAGCTGTCCGGCGGCTTCTTGACAGACGGTTCCGAGAGGCTCCCAGAAGGCACCAGAGATGCTCCCCAGAGGCTGCCGAATGCAAGCAAAGCGTACCCCACACCTCGTGGGACATCTCTCGCGCGGGAGGAGTTGCAGAAAATAGTTGTTCGATCCAGCCGCGGACACCCAGGGACGCTGTTTCAGCGACCATTCCCGCACCGAACATCTCCCAAGAGGTGTGGGGCGCGTGTTTTCCCAATCATGTGCAGCCTCATCCTTGTCGTCCCCGTGATCTCTTTCCTCCCCTGCAGGCGTTCCTCCCGGCGGAGTCGGACCCGCACGATCTCTAGGAGGGGGAGGAGTGAGGAGGAGGAGGAGGAGGAGGAGGAGGAGGAGGAGGAGGAGGAGGAGGAGGAGGAGGAGGAGGAGGTGGGAGAGAGAGGAGGAGGAGGAGGAGGAGGTGGAGGGAGGAGGAGGAGGAGGATGAGGAGGAGGAGGGGGATGAGGAGGAGGAGGAGGAGGAGGAGGAGGAGAAGGAGGAAGAGAGGAGGAGGAGGAGGAAGAAGAAGAAGAAAAGGAGGAGGAGGAAGAAAAAGAACAGGAGGAGGACGAGGAGGAGGAGGAGGAGGAAGAGGAGGAGCAGCAGGAGCAGCAGGAGCAGCAGGAGCAGCAGGAGCCGAAGGACGAAGATAGGGCAAGCACGACGAGAGGAGGAGGAAGAGGAGGAGGAGGAGGACAGGGGGAGCAGGAGGAGGAGGAGGAGGAGGAGGAGGAGGAGGAGGAGGAGGAGGAGGAGAGAGGATGAAGGAGGAGGAGGAGGAGATGAGGAGGAGGAGGGAGGAGGAGGAGGAGGAGAAGGAGGAGGAGAAGGAGGAGGAAGAGGAGGAAGAGGAGGAGGAGGAGGAGGAGGAGGAGGAGGAGAAAAGGGAGGAAAGGGAGGAGGAGGAGGAGAAGGATGGATATGCGTTGCGTATGTTGTTGGATTTGCGTTGCCCTTGCGCTGGGATGCGTTGCGTATGTTTTTTGGATAGGCGTTGCGAATGTTTGTTGTTTGGATATGCGTTGCGCTGTCCTTTCCCAATGGCGTTGCGTATGTTTTTGGGATTCCCCCAACTTGCTTGTGCAGAACCCATGGGTGCGCAGGCGTCTAAGGAAGGCGGCCCTCGAACTAGCTCGTCTCCCTGGTCTTGGTTCCTTGCTGCCTTGCTCGGGCTCTCCGGTCTTGCTCCGTGGAATTCCTTGGCCCTGCCCCGGTTTCTTGGGTCCCGCTCCTCGTCTTCCTTTCTCGGGCTCCTTGGTTGTGCTCCTCTGTTTCCGTGGCTGGTTTCCCGATTCTGTTCCCTGGGTTCCCCAGTCTTTGCGATACCAAGTAATGTCAGGTATTGCCCAGCAGCGCCAAGCAATGCAACACTACAGGAAGCAATGCTAGTAATCCCAAGCAGCGTCGAGCAATACAAGGTAATACCAGAGCAATGCCAAGGCACTGCAATCAATACCGAACACAACCAATCAACGCAACGCAATGGAAGCAATGCCACGCAAATATTCGAAGCAATGCCAAGCAACATCAAGCAATGTCAAACAATGCAACGACAATGCCATGCAATGCCAAGCAAGTATCTGCATGTCCTTCCTTCATGACTCAGAACGGTTTGACTTTGCTTGGAAGGAAAAACGAGTCCAAATTTGGATTTCGCTGGATTCGTCGTATACTCTCTGCGTCTTTTACGGTCCCGCCCCACATCGTTCACACCAGTCCCGGAGGCCTGCAAGAGAGCCTCGAGACCAGCCAGAGCCTCAGAATCCAGCCTCACGTTGTCATGTTAGCATATCGGAAGCATGCACCCAAGCACGTGCAAATTCGTGCAGACCTTGTGGACGTAACTAGTCCACAGGTCAATCCTAGTCAGCTGCAACGCTGGCATCAGCGCGTGCGAGAAAGGCGGGCTGTGGCAGCGGGCTTTGGCGCTGCTCAGCGAGATGGGGGAGGCGAATCTTGAGCCCGACGCCTTCCCTTCTATAATTCCGGCCAGTGCGGGTGCGATCGTGATGGGGGCCTGTGGAGCACCTGGGAGGCCCTCAGAGTGTCCCGAAAGGGCTTCACGAGACTGCCAAGACAGCTCAAAAGCTGCAATCGGCCTCCAAGAGAGCTTCCAGGAGCCGCCTGCTACAGCCACACATGACCCCTGGACAGCCCCAGCCGCCGCAAGAGACCCGAAGATGACACAAGCGTGGCCTCAAGAGACTCCAACACGGCTTCGCGCAGGATCCCCAGAAGGGTAAAATGGTACAATTCCGCAGGGGTGTCGGAACGTTTCTGTCAGTCTGCACTTTCGCGCCGCACATGGCTCCAGGAGCCGCACCAGAGTCTTCACAACGCCCGACGAGGCCGATAAGAGCCCCCAAGACGGCCCCGACGCCCGAAGATAGCCCAACGTGGACCCAGCCTGCCTTCCAGGTGGTTCCCAGACAGCTCCAGGACACCTCAATGCCGCCCCATACGGCCCCAACCGTTTTAGAGCAGCATACCAGAAGGGGCCCCGTGAGGCCACCAGGATCCCCAAGATGGTCCAGGGAGGCCCCACGAGGGCGAACGAAGCGCCGAACGACATACCTCCGCTCGTTTTCTGCCTATGGCTGCCAGCCTGCCCCGCAGCCAGGCCTGCAGCAGCCGGAGCCGAGCACCGAACGGCAGGGGCGGCCTCGACCGAGGAGCCAGCCGAGCAGGCAACACACCAGCAGTCAGCAGCAGCAGGCTGCAAGAGCAAGCCTCCGGCGGCAGCAGCACGTGGCAGGCATTCGCTCCAGCACGCGGCCAGGGCACGCAGCAGCACGCGGCAGCAGTCGAGCAGCACCGATCAGCACCAGGCAGAAGCGCGCAGCGGCGCCACCTCAGTAGGCAACAGCCCGCAGCAGCAAACTGCCAGTCACTCGAGGCATTTGCTCTCAGAGCTTTGCGCCCCCTGCACTTGTGGGCCCTGGAAACGACAGGGCCGTTTTTGTTACCAGTTCCGTTTGGCCGTTTTTTTGCCGGTTCCGACGCCGTTTTTTTACCGGTTCCGTCGCCGTTTTTGACCGGTTCCGGCTCCGGTTCCAATCCTGGAGCCGTTTTTTTGCCGTTTCCATTTTCAAGGGGCATTTTCTGGGAAACGGTGAAAAAACGGCCCTGCCGTTTCCGGGGCCCGCAAAGCTCTTGCACCCTCCAAGCCCATCTCCACATTGTTCTTTGTATCTGGTATCTGGCAGGCCGTTCACATCGTCCGTCCTGTCCCCTTCTGCTCTTCTTCTCCACATTCTTCGTGCTCTTCTTCGCTGCGCTGTCATGATCGGCACCTCTTCTGGCCCGTTTGATTCGGCCCCCTCTCTTTGCGTCGGTGGCCTTGGTGTGACCGTTGGGCTTGTGAGGGTTCTGTGTGCGAGCGCACCCTGCAGGCAGTGCTCGGGGGATGCGGGCTACGCGCGCACGAGGTGTGCTTTTTGGCGGACTGTCGTCTGGCTGTCGCTCCCCTTCCGCTCTCTCTCTCTCTCTCTCTCTCTTCCTCTTCCTCTTTTTTTTTTTCTCTCTCTCTCTCTCTCTATCTCTCTCTGTCTCTCTCTGTCTCTCTCTTCTCTCTTCTCTCTCTTCTCTCGTTCTCCCCCTCCTGGCTGCCTTTGTTCAGAGCGTGAATTACCTACCCCGCGTTCGTTTCCAGGCAACACCAAGTCATACCACGCGCCTCCTCGTCAAGCGGCCTGACCAGTACAGGCCGTAGTTTGGCATCGTTTGGTATCTCTTGGAAGCGAGGGTGGTCAAAAGCGAGGTAGTTTTGTTTTTCCCCTATTTGCGTGGGTGACATACATGGCCAGTTGTGCCATTGGACTCCCGCCCGCAGAACCCTGGCCTCTCTTTTCCCCGCCAGCGCCCTCCGCCGTGTGGCTCCTGCCTCCCACTGCACACGCATCCTCTACGGCGCGCCTCGAGAGGGGCTTCGCAAGGGGCCGCGGGCATCAGGTTTGCATAGCGCTCTCGTGGTGGGGGGTGGGGTGAGGGCAATGTGTAGTGACAGTGCGTGCCCTTTCACTTTGCCGGCTGAGACGTAACGACACGGTAGTCGCTACGATTCGTGGAAAAAGAGGCAGCAGGCATCGGCGAGCAGCGGCACGGAGCAGCAGACATTGGCACGCATCAGCAAGGGGCAGTGCGAGGCAGCGAACGTGCGAGCGAGCACCGCAGCAATAACACATACAGGAGGTGAGCAGGCCACAAGTTGTCAGGCCACCAGGCCGAGCAATCCCGCAAGCATGAGTACAGGCACAGAGCTCAGAAGTTAAACGGGCCTCAGGTTTGCATGCGCATGCATGTAGGCGTCCGTGGCCGCCGTAGGGGTAACGAACATACCAAGCCGCTGGTTGTGGATTGAATCCACAGGTCCACCCCAGTCAGTCAGCTACACCGCTTGGATCAGCGCGTGCGGTAAGGGCGCTCAGTGGAAGCGGGCTTTGGCCTTGCTCAGCGAGATGCGGGAGGCGAAGCTGGAGCCCG